GCTTTTACATCATAACAAAGAATTTTTGCATTAACAAAGCTCTTAACCTAAAAATACCTGATATCTGATGCTCAAACCATTGCACCCTTGGCACCTTGCTCCACGAAATGAAGAGAGAATAAATGAATCAATTTCTGAGAATTTTTGTTTAGACAGCCACCACTCAGAAAATACTGGCAATGGAATGCCACCTGATTACGAACACAATTAAAAATAAAATAAGATGTTTACGTTGTCGTCATGAACCAACTCTCTTTAAAGCTACTATTAGGTGAAGGCCTACGTTTGGCTTTGTATGAACATGTTCGGATAAACTTCAATGTAAGCCATTGCATTACAAAGTAGAAAACAAATAAAATAAGTGTTTCCCATAATCTAAAACTAGCTTATACATAAGATAATTTGTAAAAGCTATCTTATTTAGCTTCTCCTAATCTGATTTTAACTTTTACAACATAAACTAATTTGAACTTATAGAAGAAAATTTTATCACATTTTCTTCTCCTGTAAATGTTTGTGGAAAAAATTATCCAAACAGGATTTAGGTATGAAATATATGTCTGTTTCTTCATCTTTAGCTCAGAAAGAAAATGATGAAGAATGTATAAAGAATTTGCACACTATTAAGTACAAACAATAAACAATGATAATTCGTTAGTTGAAAAGCGGACTATAGTTTGAAAACCATCATGCAATTTACCCACATTTTTTTTAATGGAATACACACAAGACATAAGAGGAATTGGTACAGCCTAAGCGGCACCTAAGGGATTTTTGTACTTGCAAAAGCTGCTTAAAATATACTACTCACACAACTCTGCTTCTGTTATTATAAGATAATTAAATAAGGATTTTGGTCAATACATGTATACTTACAAACACGTAAAACACAATACGAATTCATTCTTGATAATGAATTCCACAAAGAAAAAAAGGATAGTTGACTCTGAAAAGTTTTCAATGATATAGAAGATTCACACATACCACCACGAAACAGTTGTTCTGATAATTGTTCCTGAGAAGCTCCTTCAAAGATAGGAGTACAAGAGATCAATGTCTTTACTCTTTCTTCATTACCAAGCCAGTGCCCAATTAAGCTTATCATTTCTCGTGTCAAGCTAATCTCCGCAATGGAGGTATTTCCTGATGTGACAGAGTCAGTGCCCCCAATACAAATTTCAAGGTCATTAAGTAAGCTTCTAGGATGAGACGGGACTTCAAGAAGTCTTTCTTGAATATCTTGGCAGAGGGTTTGCAAGTCTGCAGAACTCACTTCGGTAGGTTTGACCTGGAAACAGGGTAACCAAGAATTACATATTTTGAAGATAGTTTTTGTCTAGGAAAAAGGAAAAAGCATAAAAAATGCCTTTTGTTACTATAACCATAAATACCTCTAGTTCTAAATGATTCCCAAATCTTGTTTTTAGATGCTGTGGACTTCCAATACATCGCAATTGTCCACCAACCTTCAGAAATTAAACAAATAATAGGTAGATGTTTGTGGGTTCAAGACAACGCTTCACGAGTCAAGAGACACGAAAATAAGTTTGTACCATTATCCCTATTTTGGTACATAAGGCTTGGGCTTCATTCATGCTGTGTGTAGTCAGAATTACAGCAGTCTTTCCTCGTCTTGTTGAGATCCTAGATATTACATCCCACATGAATCTTTTGGCAATGGGATCCATACCTAGAATTATAAAAGATCAGCAATCGTAGATATTACTTCTGTAATTCATCAAGCATAGCAATATATTTTTTTTTTGTAAGCAAGTGTTAGTTGTTAGTATTTTGTTAGTGGGGGGAGTTGAACCCTCAACCTCTCTTCCAAACCTATAAAACCAAACCTTATAATAATTATATCAAGCATAGCAATATGTCTCACATGGCTAATCTATATATGGCTTAAAAAGCTCTTTCCTGAAATGAGAGGTCCAGTTGCTTTGTGTGAAAAATCATTAGACCTATGCTAAGATCCATGAATGGAGAACATGCCCGTTCACTTCAAAATAAAAATCACTAACAAATAAATATGCAGAAACTATTTTAAAACAATTTTAATCAAAGAATTGAAGGAAAAAAATATTCAATTCTAGACCACTTGGTGAACTAGGATTTTATAGCATCACAAGGAACCAATTGAGCTAAAAGTTTAGGCTTATAAATCAAGGACCAATTTAGATTTAAATGCGATTCTAAAAATTAAAATGGTAAAAATGCATTTTCATTATGTTTAAAGAAATATGATAATTGAGAAGAACTGTTATTGTACCTGTGGATGGTTCATCAAGAATAACTATAGGTGGGTCACCAATCATTGCAATTGCAACAGACAATTTTCTTTTATTTCCTCCACTAAGCGAAAATGATGGTTTATTGGCATGTTTCAACAAGTCAAACTCGGCCAACTTTTCCATAACAACCTGCCCAAATAATAATTGGCAATGAAAGAGAATATATGAACATATGCATGCGCACGAACACACACACACATATATAATATAACATAATGAGGAATCAAATTACTCCAACTCTAAGCCTGAAAATTTTAATCTGCATTATATATGTGTGTATAAAACAATGTTCATGCCATTCTTCATTATTATGTGTGTGTGTAAAAAACAATGTTCATGCCATTGAATT